TAGGGATGACCATAACCACTTAGCGAAGCTAGTGGGTATGCGGCAGCCTCCGGGAGTCAAATGCCAGAGCTGAAAAACTGCTTGTGCTGTGTTCCTGCACAGCAACAGCTTTTTAGCCAATCAGGTAATCAGGAGAGCCGTGCCGAGCGCGGGAATCCTGGTTACCTCAGATTTTTTAAATTGGTTAGCTCATCCCACGAAGCACTTAAAATATATATTACCCGAAGGGTAGAGAAACGTTAACATCTAAACAAAAACAAAAAAAGAATTCAAGGACCCAAAAGAAAAGGGGAACAAGGAAATATTTAATACGTCGTAAAGACATATGAGATGGATTTGAGATCTTTTGTATAATGCACACAGCTAAACAGATAACAAGGCAACAATGTATAAGTTTAAGAAAGTATCAAATAGACACTCAAACATCCTAAACTGCAACAAAATAAGTTCTGTAAATATAAATGAAACGTTGTAACAAGTCTGTGAAAGCAGATTCTTTATGCAGGGAGCCCATGAGAATTTCCTATTGCAGATACTACTAGCATCCAATCTTCCTACTTAGGTGAATCCTTGGTTTGTTGGTCTTGTCTTGGAGTACGGTTATAGTCTGTAATAAAACAGAAAGCAGTTAGAAATAGGCTGAATAACTACAAGATAACCCTATGTAAGGAAAACTACCAATCACAGGCAAAACCCTTACACTAGGGGAAGGTGGGACGGCGCTATTGCTAGGTGGTTATGCACATCCCTAAGACAAAGAAAGTTTGCAGATCATATATTTCTGCAAACTCGGATTTGTCCTCCGGGAGGCATAACCACCTAGCAAAGCTAGTAGGTAGAATAGCACACATCTGATGGTGGTCCTAAGGAACTGAAGGTGCTCACCTTCTGATGGCCTCCAGTAAAATCTAACAAATGTTTTACTGGACAACCACCTTGCAGCTTTCAAGATAATAGGGAGGGGAAGGCCCTTTGCTGCTTCTTTAGCAGCCGAGGCGCCCCAAATTGAGTGGCCTTTAAACACAGAAACATCAATACCAGCCAAATACATTGTGGAAAGTATCCAATCTCTAATTGCATTAACCTTGGCTGGATGAAAGGGATTCCTTGATATAATAAATAATTTCTAAACGCAGCAGAAAGGTCAAGGTACAATTGTAACAAACTGACTAAACATAAGGCTGGTTCAGAAGGATCTTAAACCAAATCCAATTCCACCAGACTTGGGGAAATGTAGGATGTTTTTTGTCTCCCTTTTAGTATAATATTGAACCCTCCCAGGTTTGAGTTAACGCAGCTCTTTTAGCTGCCAAGGCCAAAGACAGCATAGAAGCCAACTTAACAGCAATCCATCTTAAATCTATTTTAGCATTATCCAAAGAATTAAGGAAATGAGGTCTACATCCCAAGTAGATGTGTATCATGGAGTATATGAGCGGCAGACTGATAGCTAAAACACTTTTTTTTTGAGTTGCCATTTAAACCAGTGTCTTCTATTCAAACTAGAATTAGGACGGTTCAACAAAGTTCGACTCCAGTTAACCCAAGCACAAAGCATATAATGTTTTTTGTTTGTTAGTTTTAAGGGTGCTTTTTTTTTTTTGTTACACAGTCTCACTTTCTCATGTTTGAACAAAAAAAAAAAACTATTTTTAAGACAGAGCACTGATGTTTTGAATCAGTTTGTATAAAAGCCTGTATGATCAGTGAATAAAATGGAGCTCTGCTAAAAATTAGCATGTAAATATAAGAAGACAACATGAAAATCAGAGAATAAAGAATAAATTCTTCAATCTTAAATTCAAATAAAATGATACATAAAACGAGAGAAAGAGAGAGAGACAGAGACAGAGACAGAGACAGACAGACAGATCGGCTCTTGTTTGTTTTTATATATAATTTTTCAGAATTATAACCATTTATTATTATCCGCCATCAAGTAGACTGGAATAACCAACTCTTTTAATGTGTTTGTTTGTTGTTTTTTTTTTTTTTTGGTTTTCTTTCTTAAACAGTGAAACGTGTATTAAAATAAAAGCTACACCAGATTTTCTGGTAATGGGATCCTTACACCCCCCACCCTCACATTCCCTCAGTCTCAAAACACATTATTATAAAATGTAAACAGAGTTATTCACTAAAGTGAGAACTCAAAGTGCATTCAAAGTTAATTTTGAATTTCAGATAAAAGTAGCCAAAATGTAAACATTCTCTAAGCCAGCTCTTCTTCCATTTCAACTACTCTGGCCTTATATCTGAAATTCACTTTGACTTTACTTCAAATTCTCACTGACAATAAAGGAAAAGGAATGGGGAATCCCACAACCAACTGAGATGGACACTGGGGTTCAGTCTTCTAGAAAGTAGGGGTCCATGCTGATTTTACACGAGGAACCAAAATAATGTTGGTCACGCATAAAAATCATATTCAAATGTAAAAATGCATAATTTTTTTTCTTTTTGCTAAATGATCCAAAGCTCCATTGCTCTGATACTTTCCACTCTCTTGATCCATTGATGGTAAGTAGTGATGTCCCGAACGGTTCGCCAAAAGGTTCGCCGCGGACGGCGAACATATGCGCTGTTCGGTTCGCCCCCTATGTCATCATTGAGTAAACTTTGACCCTGTACCTCACAGTCAGCAGACACATTCCAGCCAATCAGCAGCAGACCCTCCCTCCCAGACCCTCCCACCTCCTGGACAGCTCACTAAGAATGCAACTTCACAATGAATGTAAAATGGATGCTGTCCAGGAGGTGGGAGGGTCTGGGAGGGAGGGTCTTCTGCTGATTGGCTGGAATGTGTCTGCTGACTGTGAGGTACAGGGTCAAAGTTTACTCAATGATGACATAGGGGGCGGACCGAACAGCGCATATGTTCACCGTCCGTGGCGAACCGTTCGGGACATCACTAATGGTAAGTAGTCATTAGGTGATCGCCAAAAAAGACTAAACAATAACTGGTTTGAAGACTGACTACATGATTAAAGACAAACAGATGAGCTAAAAAACATTTTTTTCCTTACATTAAATATTGAACTCGTGACTACTCACTTCTTACTGATTGTGCCTCATTTTTTTTGTTGTGAGTCAAAATGTTTTCCTTACAAATAATTTTTCAGTTAGATCAATCCTGAATGTAATCTGACTTTAAAAAAAAAAAAAAGAAAAAAGAAAAGTTTAAAGGCAAATTGAAACTGAATATGCAAACTAGGCAAAAATGTTCAAATTAAAGTGTATAGCTAAATGGCCAATGTTTTTTTTCTTATTAATTTAGCTATTTCGAGGTGAATTTTGAAAATCATTTGTTTACTGAATAAAACCTTATATTTACACAGTTTTTGAATTCTAGTCCTGGGTAGAATGATTTAGCTATATTATGTCTTGAGTATTGTTACTAGTTAGGTAGTATCAATAAATAGCCTCCAATCTAAGTATTTTCTGGATATATATTATATCTGTAGATACTAACTATATATACACACACAAACAAAAATAATCAGATTTTTATTTTCCCTTTTTTTTTCCACAGACGCAGTATTTTTATACTAATGTGATTTTCGGAAGTTGAAAGAAGGAACTTTGATCTTTGTTAATACAAAAGGTGAAGTGTTCAGTTCATTTGGTTGATTTTCAATATGATATCATTGTATGCACATACAGCATCTTTTAATTTCCTCTCCTCCTAATGATGGTATAATCTGAAGTGAATGACTTCCTGTGTGTTCTTCATTAGCGCAGTCATTTTTTATGTTTGTTCAGAGATTGTTTGTATCATATATGTAAATACCTGACACAGATATCTGTCATAAATGGATTCAACGATTGTATGTTTGCTCGATTACAGGGTCTGTAATTTAAATACAGTTCTAGTAATGTTTCCTTAGGGCTTCGGAACTAAAGCCGAAGGATGACTTTCCATTTATCAGTGGTTATAGGTGAGCCATGAATAATACTTCTCAGACAGGTTGATAATGTACTATGTAAAGAAAAAGAAAAAAGATTGTGGGAGAGAAAAGAAGAAAACAAGTTCTGAAAATAAAATGTAATCTAACAACTTGCAAAGACCCCCCAACAGTGACATTACGGCTGGGTGCCCAGTGGCTGGGGGCAGGGAATGATGAGATTTATCTACATGAGCCTGTACATTTGTGGGAGCCGTCATCTTGAGTCAATGCATCCATTTCAGTTCCATGCTCTTCGACTGCCAGGAGCTAACATCAGTGCTGTAGTCTTGCTCATGTGTGCTAGTACAGTAATAAGGTCTATTGAGAATCCAGTGAGTCTGAAAGATCCTCCATAGAGATGGCAATTTTTTGACAGATGGCTGTCACTGGTGATGGCTGGGGGAAATGACATGCTTGACAAAAGGTAAATCCTCAGCTTGTCAAGTGTAAGAACACTTTCAATGAATAAAGTTTCTATGCATAAAGATTCTATCTTCATAAAATACTCATTTTGGAGGGGGTGACAGAGGTGCTTTAATGGTTTCGCTATGGTTTTCTGTGAACATACTTTTCTGACAATGGTCTTTCAACTCTCCTCACTATTGTTAGATAGAGTCTTCAAAGTACAGACTGGGACAGTCCTTAAAGGGACACTTTAGTCACCCAGACCACTTCAGCTCAATGAAGTGGTCTGGGTGCCAGGTCCCTCAGGTTTTAACCCTTTACAAGACCAACAAACCAAGGATCCACCTAAGTAGGAAGATTGGATGTTAGTAGTATCTGCAATAGGCTCATTGCATAAAGAATCTGCTTTCAGAGACTTGTTACAGCGTTTCATTTTTCTTTACAGAACTTATTTTGTTGCAATTTAGAATGTTCCAGTTTTAGTGTATATTTGATACTTTCTTAAGATTATACATTGTTGCCTTGTTATCTGTTTAGCTGTGTGCATTATACAAAAGTTTTCAAGTCCCTCTCATGTCTTTACGACTTATTAAAGGGACACTATAGTCACCCAGACCACTTCAGCTCAATGAAGTGTTCTGGGTGGCAGGTCCCCCAGGTTTTAACGCTTCAGATGTAAATCTTTACATAGCAGGGTTAATCCAACCTCTAGTAGCTGTCTTCCTGACAGCCGCTAGAGGCTCTTCTTCGACGCTGGATGCAAAATTCGCATCCAGCATGCAGAACGTCCACAGGAAAGCATTGTGAAATGCTTATGCAGGTCTTCCACCAGGTGGACACTCCCCTAGGGGACCTGGCAGAAAACTGGGACCAAAATATACAGTAGCCAAAAATAAGCGTACAGGTATAACCACTCCCACAGGTACATTGTAATCCCTCCTCTCTATCCTGAAGATAATTGGGAAGTAACTCAATTATCTCCGAGGATAGAGACCAAACTCCATTTTACACGTGGCAATAAAAATACCTAACTTTCAAACTACCGAATGTAATACACACATTTAACGTATCCCCAGATAGCTTAGATCTGAGCGGACATTATTACCGAATGGCACTCAGATCACATACATACTGTTCAATCGCCATGGAGCCAAAGTCTTTCACATAGTCTTTCATTATACTAATGGGCTCCATGGCATAGCTATCTGGGGTAAGTCCATTCGTGCAGAAAAGTACCGAACGTGCCGGCGTTCGTATGCTGGATGGACAGAAGAAAGGAGGTTGACGGCTTCAGCGGTGTTGGTGAGAAATAGTGTCCGTTTTTAGTTCCATGAAATTGTTGATGAACACCGCTGGGCATTCGTACGTCCAAGATGGCTGCCACCTCGTGGTTGACATACGAACGACGACCACCCAGTCGGAATTCCACAATTAGGAAGTGTCTGCGGTTAACCACAAGATTTTGATGAGGCCACGAGGGTAACAAGCAGCACACTTCAATGCTGGGTGGCCGGCCATTCGGCAGTTGTTCAGTAAAATGAAGAAATAAATGTGGGGGCTGTACGGACAGGGAAATAGCCGAACAAACAGACGAATGAAGGGAAAATAAAAGTAATTCACAGACAGATGGTTCTGTCACAGGGGTGTACATAAAAAATACCCCTGTCTCGTTAGATATATCTGTGCCAGAAGCTCAAGGAAGCAAGGTGAATTGTTAGAGTTAGGACCCACCTAAAAGGTCTGCCTTGACGTGGCAGGTGGGCATTTCTAATAACGATTGGAGTAACTAAATAACCTCCATTTGTTTAACTATACATAGGGATTTGGGAGAGAGCGCAGGTAACTTTTTTCTTTGGTTTTTACTGTATGTATTGGGGCTGATGTGTACTATGGTCGTTACTGCCGCCCAAGTGTAGTGGGAGTTTGAGCAGAGGACTTTTTTTTAATATTTATATAAATGCAATATACAGAATAAAAATATAACAATAAGTTGCTTGGGTTTATGATAATTAGTGAAATACTGCAAAGAGAGCAATACTGTGGAAGAAGTAAGCATGTTTACGAGTAAAAACTATGAATGCGATGAAGGGAGCACAGGGTGAAAGGTTTACAAATTAATCACAATGACCTGTCAGTTGGCCTTTCAAACAGCACTAGGGGTGGTAGGTAGATTCTCTAGCAGGTGGTATAGAGGCAGCTAATGCAGAAGCAGGTGTTGTAGAGGTAGGTGATGCAGAGGTAGGTGATGTAGAAGTAGGTGATGTAGCGGCAGTGGGTAGAGGGGTGGTGGTGATATTATTGCACTTTTCCTCAGGGCTTATACTTATACATTGATGTTGAGGTCAGTATGGCTCAGTACGACTCTTGTGGAGGTGTCCCTGGTCTTGATAGTGGTGGTACCTGTGATAGCTGTAGTGTCCCGGATCTGCCATCTAGCCGCTTCTCCAGTTATAAATTATATAAGGAAATGTGGCGGCACTAAAGGCAGAAGCAATTCTCTGCCATTGAAAGCACAAGCATTAATGTGGGAAATGTAATAAGATCACAGATGTCATGGTGCAAGCTTTAAAACAATATAGATATCGCTTCTCCCTCACTTATATCTGATTCATCACAATATCCCGTAGAAGGACTCTAGCATTAAAAATGTGTTTGACATCAGGGCATTTTCTCTCCAACAGAGGCCTGCTTTCTGCGTGTGTTATAGGTGCAGCATAATAAGTTTGAATATCTAAATGTGCATCGACTTCCCCTGTTCACTTTGAGCTTGCCCCTTTGACGATTTGTCATTGGCAACTGTGTATACCCAGGTAGTTTTGCTATTGCACTATGTGTCCTTGCTGTGCTTTGAACATTGTCACCGCAGCTGCATTACACAAGGTGTGTCACTCCAAGGCCCATTACAGAGGGCTATTTATGATGGGAGTTGCAGTAAGATAATAGCTGTAGAAATCTCAGTGCACTATATGCAGCCTGTTTAATGTCACCGGGCCAAAATCTTCCTTATTATCTTTCCATGTATTTTTTAGCAGAGTGCACAATACAAAGTAATAAGGAAACAGGGAACGTGAGGGAAGGGCTAAGGTGATGTTACAGGATGGTTGTAAAAGGAATGATACAGGGGCAGGATACAGGGAGAACTCATCTTAGAGCAATGAATTATGATGATTTTGCTGTGAAACCCAACTCCCAATTATAAAACCTCTAGCACACAATGAAATGCGGAACTGAACATTTAACTCTTTATAAGGCTTTTTTATTTCTGCTTTATGTGTTTATCTTCTTGAGGGTCCTCAATGGATTTAGATAAAGAATGAAGGAAAATATGATCCTGTTTAGCTTAAACACAGTGATTATACCAATTTAAAGCTGATTTAGTTGAACTGGCGTTACAAGATAAAGATCTATTATATTAAACCAGACTCTTTGAAATGCCAAAGGAGAAACCTGAGACAGGCCAGTCTCCTTCTTGCTTAGTAAATTATTCAAGCACGTCACAGATCTAATGATATGCTAAACAGGGTCATGATACATTTTAACGGAACAGAAGAATAGTTCCTTTCAATTAGACTGATATAAGAATAGGTGTTGCACCTCACCACTCATTCACTAAACAGTGAGTGGTTCTGAGCTGAAACTGACTTCTAAATAAAAAGTCAAATTACCCAGTTTATAAAAACATATTTCTTTTAGTAGAATTAGAAGATATTCGCACCTCTGAAGTTTGAGGTTAAATTTTATAAGATTGTTCAACAGCTCAGCTAGTTGTGTTCAGCGAATAGACATCAGGAGAATCTCTCCCTCATCAGTTTGGCTTGGGAAGCTACACATTGCCCAAATTACCTAACTAAAGGGACACTATAGGCACCCAGACCACGTCAGCTCATTGAAGTGGTCTGGGTGCATATTCCCAGGTCCCTTAACCCTGCAAAGGTTATTATTGCAGTTTTTAAGAAACTGTAATAATTAAGTTTGTGGGTTAACTCCAGCTCTAGTGGATGTCTACATGGCAGCCCCTAGAGGGACGTCCGGGTCATTAGGTGACTTTTGGTTCCCTAACTGATGCTGGATATCCTCACATTATGCATGAGGACAACCAGTGTCACCTGAAACTTCATAGGAAAGCATGAGGAACGGAGGCAGAGCCTAAGCCAGTGCCAAGGGACATTTGCACTGGACTCAGGTAAGTGGCAAAAGGGCTTTTTAACCCCTTTTGCAACCCAGAGGGGGGGAGGGTCCTTGATATAGGAGGGCACTGTAGGGATATACAACTTTGTTTTCCTGGCACTATAGTTTCCTTTTAAAACCGTAGATGTAATACATTGCTTGTGAGCTATGGAAACTCTCAATGTAACAGTATTGTGTAGCTCTTTGAGTTGCATGTGAGATCATTGGAATATAATTTCTCTACACGACAAGAAGGATCCTAATTTTATAGTCAGTGCTAGGAACACATCAGCTATTTTTGTCCGCTGGTTCAACTTGTCTCTGCTTATATTCTAAATAAAGTCTTCCATGGTAACATCACACTTTAATTCTCTTACACGCAAATAGAAAACCCATGACTAATGCTAAGTGTAAGAGACACTAAAGATATCCCACCCTAATTTCTGTTTTGTCCCTGGAGAGGAAGCAGCCCGCCAGACCTCACAGTGCCTGTAACGATTTAATTTATATACGTAAAAACAGCAGTGTTTTAAAGGGCTGGATTGCACCTTCATATTTTAATGCATTATAGATAATAAATTATGAAGAAAAAAAAAATGTAAAAACAGAAACCAACAACAAAAATAAAATATAATTCTTGAAGCATCCTGTGAATTAGAAATGTGTTGACATGTATCAGCGAATCAAGCCATTTAATCGTTCCAATGGGAGCATTGACTATTATCCCATAAACTCATGCAGAGCAGGACTTCAAGGGTTGTAAAGAACATTACACAACAGTAGTTCCAATAGCAAATTTGTTAAGCAATCTTTCGATGTGAAACACGTGTACTAAATGAAAATCCAGGATGCACATCTTATTTGATCCAAATAGGTAGCTTGATAAAAAAAAAATTTTTTAAAAATACACAAAATCAGTAGGTAAATGGACCAAATCCCATTCAAAGTATAGGATTTAAATTTACCAAACATTATATGATTAAGTTCCACTAGGAGACACACTCACATAATAAATTCACCTGCTATTTATTTTTTTAACTATTTGCTTTGTGTTTTGTACCTTGATCGGCTGAAAGGTTCTTATATGTTAATTGCTGTCTGATATATGTTAATTGCTGTTTATGATAGCTTCTTCTTGCTAATTCACCATTATACTTTTTTTTTACATTACATAAATTTTTTGTGTTATGGTTAATGTTAGTATTAGAGTTAGGGCTTGGGTAAGTGTCCCTTTAATCCCAGTGCTGATCTGCCTGAGATTAGTGGGAGAAGTCAGAGTTAAAATGGAGGAAGCAGAAAATAGCAGATACTGTCTGGGAGTTGAAATACACTTAATGATGGGCAGACTAAGGCATGTATGTACCCCTTACTGCATAGTGGCATTAAAACCAATAATTACGGATAGATGTATGTATAGATAGATGGATGGATAGATGTATAGATACATCCATCCATGGATAGATGGATCTCGTTTTATTCCAAATCAAATTTCAAGCAATACAGTTAAAGGACCACTATAGGCACCCAGACCACTTCAGCTCAATGAAGTGGTCTGGGTGTCAGGTCCAGCTAGGTTTAACCCTTTTTGCTGTAAACATAGCATTAGCCACTAGAGGCTGGATTAACCCATAGGTTGTCTCATTGACAGCTGCTAGAGGTGCTTCCGACTGTGATTTTCACAGTGAGAAGACATCAGCATCCATAGGAAAGCATTGAGAATGCTTTCCTATGAGACTGGCTGAATGCGCGCGCGGCCCATGGGAGTGGGAAGAGTTTGTTTTCCTGGCATTATAGTGGTCCTTTAACATCTAATGTTTTAATTTCGGTCTTCCTGGACTTACCACATTACAAAAAAGGATATTAGAATAAAAAACATGATCACAATATATCCCCTTAAACAACAAATTCCACAATCCATTTCTCGTCATTGCAAACCAATAAGCTAAGAAAGATAAACATGTGCATACAATAAAACTTGTGTAGCAAGCCTCATTTTCAAACTGGAAGTGATGTTCGTGTCCCCAATGAAACCAGTGAATCTAAGTTAAAAAAAATAAAGTTTGATAGATATTCACACACTCAACATATTGTGAAAAAGCAACAACTTTTAAATAGAACTTTAACACACTCCCTGAATAAAAATAAATAATTAATCTGAGTTTTGGTACACTTCCAAAGCCAGAAGTGACATCTAATATTGAGTATAATAATACTCCTTCCATCCCAATTTCCTGCCATACCAACATTGTTACATGGTGTCCGAGGAGGAGCTGGAGAAAGGGCCACGGATGTTTGCAGTAGCAACTAGCTTAATTGATGAAAAAACATTAAAAGATAAATTAGACATTGGGTTTTGAACCTGTTACTAGCATAATATATAATAATATTTAATATATTTTCATTCTTATATAGGCTGTTGCCAGATATACCCTTAAGAAGAATAGTAGGTATGTTCAGAGAGGTTTCAGACACTAGAATTCCAAATGTGATCATATTTGTAGATATAATAATCTATAATCTTGTGTGTCAATGTTGTGTGATGGTTACTATCGGAGTAGCTGCCCATCCATATCCTCAACTATCGGTAGGATAGTTAAAAAAAAAAAAAAGGACCTACCGAATGGATCTCTATTCTCTTCACCCATGGGTAGTGGTTGATGGGTTAAACTTTTATTGGGTGCTCTTGTTTCTAACTTCTGACTTGCTGCCCAAAAGTTAAGGGCACTATCCTTAACTACGCGATGGGGAGAACGGTTGGGTAGTCCACCTGTTCATATTAGCTGTACTATTTTTTGTTCATCATGTAAATTTGTTCATATGGTGCTCCATTCATACACAAGCCTAATTTTTGTTGTGTTATTTAAATATTACATTACAAAATAAATTAGGTTACCCCAGCCTAGAGCACTCTATAAAGGTTTGATAGAAATGGCTAAGCTAATATTTGCCAGATATAAATCTAGTTGTATAAAGACATTTAAACTGGGAAAAGTCTCCAGTAAAGCTCAATAGAATGGAATATTTGAAAATTCTTTCATCATTTAGATTTTTTTAATTTAATTTAATAATCATGCTATTTTATAATAATTATTATCATCATCATAGTTCCGCAACGTCTGTATCTGGCATGTTCAACATGTTCCATGGTTCCAATGGTCAGGGGGTGCAGTTCATGTTCAAACCAAATGTTAGCCAATGGATGAGGTAGAAATGTGATCTAAGTGGCTTTGATCGTTGAATAATTGTTGGTGCCAGACATGATGGTTTGAGCAACTCAGTAACTGCTGATATCCTGGGATTTTCTTACAACAGTTTCAGTTTACAGAGAATGGTGTGAAAAAAAGTTTTAAAAAAAAACAATCATCAAAAGCAAGAGTTTTGTGAACGAAGAAGCCTTGCTCGTGAGAGAGGTCACAGGAGAATAGTCAGACTAGTTCGGGCTGACAGGAAGGCGACATTAGTTAAGCATTAAAACATTGCTATTGACTGCTTTTCACAATCCTGAACCCTTAAAGCATATGAGCTGCAGCAGCAGAAGACCACACTGGCTTCCACTCGTGTCAGCTAAAATGCTGTAATGGTTTATGGAATAATAAAGAAGTCCCAACATGCAAAAATGCATTTCAGGGAGGTAGCTTCACCAGCTTCACTGTTCCAACCCCCTCCACACACACACACACACACACACACACAGCAACCAAACATGTATGAATAACTTGAGCCACAGATACACACTGGCCCATACACACACAGATACACACATTGCAATACACACTGGCTGATACACTCAAGTATGTACACACACTGACACACAGATACACACACTTAGATGCACACACTGACATTCAATACACACTGGAACATACACACACACTCAGATACACACTGACACACATACACACACGCAGATACACACACTGGCACATGCCCTCACTGACATATAGATAGACACTGGCACATACACACACATACTCAAATACACAATGACACACACAGACACATACTGACACAGAGATCTACACTGACACATATACATACTGACAAATACTCAGATACACACACACACACACACACACATCATACTTTATATATATGCAGCCACCCTTCTGTTAGCCTGCCTTTGTGTCCAGGAGGGAGGCTTGTTTGGGGTAATGGTCTTGGCTGAGGCTGATGGGAGTGAGCATGCTGCAGCAGCTTATTCCAGCCTTTCCTCTGCCTCAATGCTGGCTACATGCTTCCTGTGATGGTGCATCCAGCCTCCTCCACCTTCCATTTCCTCCTGGGCAGCTCTTTGTGAAGGGAGGAAGTGACAGGGTGTCCCTGCCCAGTAGGCTCTCGAAGGGCAGGCACCTGACTGGGCCCTTGTTTAGCAAGTATTATGACACACATTCTGATATACACTGTATCTCAGACCGTGTGTGTAGTTTCCAGGATATTGTATGTGATTTGCAAGTGTCAGGGAGCCACATTCAAAATGTGGGTGTCTCCCAAGAGCTCTGGTAGACTTGGGATGTCTGCCAATATCAATTTAATGAATGCTTTTACTTAATGCAACATTGCCTATTGGACATTATGACTCTTCATGGCCCCATGCGACATGACAGCTGACCTAATACCCATTCCTTATTCACTATTCACCCCTTTTTATCATATCCCCAACTTGTAACAATCGTATCCCATCAGTTCCAATTCAACATGGCAGCAGTCATGTCCACCCTTACTTGACAGTCCAGAGAAGTACTTCACCAAGTGCATCGATCAGTCTAGTCAAATGCTTCTCACAGAGCTGGCGAGGGAATTACAATTGAAAAAAAAGACACAAAAGAAGAGCAATATTAATGGCATAGGGAGCTGGGGAGGGCTAAACTCAGAGCGGTAGGGATCCAACTCCAAAGGTAACGTTGCACTGAGGAAACCAAACAGTGTCAGAAACTAGAGATGTCGCGAACTGTCCGCCGAACTGTTCGCGAACTGTCCGCTGGCAAACAATAGCGTGTTCGCGTTGGGCGAACATATCCGATTTCCGGTCCGCCCCCTATACGTCATCATTGAGTAAACTTTGACCCGGAACCTCACAGCCAGCAGACACATTCCACCCAATCAGCAGCAGACCCTACCTCCCAGGAAGTGTCTGCTGACTGTGAGGTTCCGGGTCAAAGTTTACTCAATGATGACGTATAGGGGGCGGACCGGAAATCGGATATGTTCGCCCAACGCGAACACGCTATTGTTTGCCGGCTGACAGTTCGCGACATCTCTATCAGAAACCACTCCTGGATCACCGTGGAAGGGAAATTCCAAGATCAAAATACAGACCTCACAGTGTGGTGAAATTAGTAATACTTTCTTGAGGATTAGAAAAGCAAAATCATATAAAACGTATTGGCCTCAAGCCTTAAAGCAGCACTGGCATGCCAAACTTACCTTTCCCCAATTGCTTCCTCTTCTCTCATTATCTGTTTTTTTTTTTTCCTTATCTGATCTAGTTTTCTTTAAAACTAGTTTTTTTTCCTACGCTTGACCTGCTCTGACCTACTTCCTGTGGTCAGAGAAATTTTTCCACAATAGTCACCCTTTCCTCCGTGATCTCGCGATGCCTGCCTTCACTATTCCCGAACGCCCTGTCATTTAGATAACACCAGCGAAACTACTGAATTTCGTCCTAACAGAATGAGAACAGTTTGTTCATTCATTCATTTGAATGAAATTCCGATCTGTGCTGTGGCTGCATCTTGCAGCAGCTTAGTAGATAGCTCCCTAATTCCCACAGTATCAGGGAGCTACCAAAAGGCTGAAACACCTAAATTGGTCTTTCAGCCAACTTTATTAATACTAAGTAAAGATTACTTAGTATTAGTAATTAATCTGCCCCTACTCGCTATGCCGCAAGTAGGGGCATGTCTACTTAACAGTGAGCAGAAAAAAAAAATAGACCCCCCCCCTCTAATAAATGGTCCCATGGTGGGGTATCTATTAACTAGCAGAGGGGGACATAGTGTGTCCCGAACTCTCGGCCATGTCCAGCAAGTGGTGGCTATTTAATTAAATGAGGGACATAGGGTGTGTCCCCCCAGCCCCCACCCATGAGTGGCAGGTGGGGGCCCTAAATGACAATGGGGGGGACCAATTGTCCTCCCCCGGCCCCCACCCATGAGCAGCAGGTGGGGGCCCTCAATGACAGTGGTGGGGGGGACCAATTGTCCTCCCCCCGGATCCAACCCATGAGCGGCGGGTGGGGACCCTAAAAGACAGGTGTATCCCCTAAAAGACAGGTGACTAGGGGTCCCGAAGCCACTAAAGCCCTACCTACCACCAACCCCCCTCACCCTAAAAATAAGTGAGGGGAAAACACCATTTCATGTCTTCTTTTTTCGAAAACCTGTTTTCAGCCCCCAAAAAAGGCCAAATTAAAATCCATTAAGCCCGTCAAACCCAGTATTAGACAGCTGTACCTCATGGAGTGTCCATTGTTATCATTTTATAAAGCAGTAATATGTGGGAATACTTGTTATCCAGTAGGGCAATCTGGAAGTCATGGATGTTTCCTGATTGTTTGGATATTGTATATTCTTACCTGACTTACAGGAGTTTAGAGCAGATACGGGAATTGGATTAAAGTCGCACCCAGATCATCTTTTATTTTGTCATGAACCTACATACTTCAATAGTCACAGGAAACAGATGTCCGTTTTAAGCAATAACAAATCCGCTTCCTTTTGTGCATCTGGGAATGTAATGGTCTCTGTTCTATGAAAACATGAAATTTTAAAATTATATTTTCTCAGTGTCATGTGTTTTCTGTATGAAGATAAATAGGGCAGTTTTCAACTTTTACTCCTAAGGTGTTGGTGTTTCGACCCACTTGTCAGCTCCCATTTTTTCAAGTGTCCCTGCCTATGCATTACACTAGCATGCCCCCTTTATGGCTGTTCTCCATCATCCTGCTTTATATTTCTTAATGTACAAAAATACATGTACAAAATGTTTTCATACTAATGTAAATAGTCCAATGTTGTCTACAGTCATTTGAACAGGATTTACATTGCAAAAGAAAATAATTACACTATACACACACACACACACACACACACCTGCGCACAAACACACACCTAACATTACTTGGGTATGTATAGTAAAAGAAATACATATTTTTTTTTAAAAAGAGTTCTAGATGACCTAGAAATACACGTCATACAAAATAAAACGAGAATACTTTTTAAGACAGAACTGGAAAAATGCAAATGCATTTTGTCATTGTTAGCAGTGAATTTATTGTAGGTCTTTTCCACACTTTACCTTTCATTGTTTGACGCTGGTTTCAATTGCTCCATTCTGGGAAATCAGTGATTTTTAATAGTACGCAAGCACTATGATAGAATGTATAAATGGCATGAACATACATTTTTATTGTTATTGAATAAAGGAAGAGCATTTATAAAGTACATTAGAAAGAGGTCTAGTGCACTACACTGTCTTTTAAAGCAGCATTGACAATACTAATGTAAAATCGTCATAAAAAACAAAAAAAAACAAAAATACTTAGCCAGTTTGGAATTGAACATGAGACAGAGTAGAGACTATTATGTCTAGGCAATATCTGACAAAGAGGCAAATGTGCAGCTTCAAGCCACTTCCACCTACCACATCTTGCCTCTTCCCAGTAGCAGTCACTTACACCAGCTGACCGTGTATGGGACAGGCATGTTGTGAAATACATATGACCCCTCATTGCTCATGCATGAATAGATCTACAAGAGGACCTTACGGTGAAATGGGATATTTTATAGAGCAACATTTGTGATACCAGCTTCTGACAGCTACATCTGCCTAGTTCTTAAAGGGACACCACACACACACACACACACACACACACACAAGCTTTCTGGAGTACTTTATGTTTCAAGAACAGCTCACCCTAACTGTAATTTATAAATGTTCCAATTTCTATTTTAAATCAGCACGTTTATAAAGCACCTCCTTCGCTGTTAATCACACATCCGGGGGGGTATTATCTTCCTTGTTCCATTAGTTCTACCGTTAGAGCGTGCCTGCTTTCTCACAAAAGTCAAAGTGAGCCCATGCTCGTGCCTCCACAGGACCAGTTTACCTTGGCATCCCTGGAACATACAAGCACAGATCAAAATAAGATTTAATAATGAGAAGGCTCTGATTGGTCATTTTCATTGGTTTGCAAAGGCTGCAAACAGTAGATCTGCAGGATGTGCATGTTTTGCATGAAAAAAAATGCATAATTGAATGTATAAGTAAATGTATACACAATTATTAGGCTGGTTTGTCTCCTATCCCGAGTATACGGTTTCCTAGAATAAGTAAAAAATAAAGAAAGAATATAAACAAGGCTACATAACTCCCAATAGTCACAGACCATCAGGAACAGTCTCACTTTTTGGGAAACCAGAGGAAAGTAACCATCAGCCAGAGAAAATATTTTGCACTTGGCAGCATTGGTTAAGTTGCTGGCAAGGCTGCCAAGCGTGTAAACCTGATGTTTCACATTCCCTGTGGATCTGCTGCTTCTCAATGTATCACTGGCACTCTCCCACTCTGGACCTGTCTCCCAGTCCCATCACAATGGCACACAACCTAAAGTGAGTTATGATACACTAAGTGCCACTTAAACTCTTTCTCCGTTTGAACACATAGGATTGGTTCTCTGTAAAGACTAATAAACATTAACAATTTTAGAATATCGTATTAGTTTTGTGAATTATAATACATCATTTCCAGTAATTCATTAGCCACCAAAAGACAAGCCACATACAGGATTGCATGTTTAGAACAATGATGATGTTCTGTGGATGTTAACATTTCATTCCATTAGAATCTCATTAACTACCAGGAAGATTAATTTGATATATTGTACCTGTATGTTGCAATGACACTATACTAATTGTAACTCATTGTTTAGAGGGTAGGATACAATATGTATTTGAGAGGATATCAATATAGAAATAATAACGCAATATA